ATATTATTGTTTTTTATACTTTTCCCCCGCTTTGCTTTTTTTTAAAACAAGAAGAAGAAAAAAGGAATATCATTCATACAATTTCCACCTCAGTAAAAAACCCATTTTCCTTAAAATATAACCAACATCACAAGCACTGTCCACGTCATAGAAACATTGTGATGCTTTCAATTTAAAAAAAACAATAAAAATATCACAGCAACGAGTAATACACAAAGGAATGTTCTCCAAGTTATTTTTGCTGTAAAACCCTTCCAGTTATCATTTCATTAAAAATACATCCAAGAGATCCTTTAAAAAAATATTTCATTCTTCATAATACTATCATTTCTTTTTTCAAATGACCTTCTCCGCGTCATCTTTAAAAGACAAATTAAAAAAAATATCCTTCAAGTGACCACTTCTTTACATATTCCGTTCTTCAAGTACTCATTTCCAGATTTCGTCAGTTCTTCTGGTTGATAATAATATCCCTCAATCACAAATTAATTGTTCATCTACTATATATCGATTTTTCGGTCACTATTTCTTGACAACGTCTTTTCATTGAGCTGTGCGACTTTTCGAGAAACTGCCTTTTAGTATGCGTGACCACGAAGGTAAATACTGATAATGTAACATTTCACTGACATAGCCTTACTGATGACGTACCATTTCGGTGAAATAAACTATTGTAACAGAATACTGATGACGTATCAATACACTGAGATAGCCTATCGTAACAGAATACTGATGTAACAATAGTGTGCTGGCGGTACATAGTCATGAAACTGCTGATTGTTCAACAGATGTTAACAATACACAATGATGCAAGAATACACCATGTAACAATACATTAATATAACAATACATTAGTACAACAATACACAGATGTAACAAACATCCAGATAAACATACACAGATGTAACAATACATTAAAATAACAATACACTAATGTAACAACACACAGATGTAACAATACATTAGTACAACAATACACTGATGCAACAATACATTAATATAACAACACACAGATGTAACAATACATTAATGTAACAACACACAGATGTAACAATACATTAATGTAACAACACGCAGATGTAACAATACATTAATGTAACAAC